CCACACCGTGCATCTGATTCTAGATCGGCCATATTCCTATATGCTGTGGGGTATCGAAGTCTATCTGCAGTACGCTCAAAGAACTACTCAAGTATTCGCGGTATCGATCCATCGTCTAAAAGCTATCGTCAAGATCCACTTGCCGTCTTACCACACTCGGACTGTCCTCGTCCATACCACCCGTTGAGTCTGTAATATCGCCGCCAGCTGTCATGAGCAAGTCATCCACAATGCGCTTGCTAGCTTCTCGAGCTGTTTCGTATGTTAGCATTTGCCTAGCATATGAGGAGGAGGAATCTTACCAGGCGTCTGCATCAGCTTGCTTTGTGGAATGTGGAATTGTATCGTCTTCGGAGGACTGAAGTCAACATCGTCGTCCTCTTCGTCGCTGTCATCGAAGATTGTGCCGCCAGTCCGGTGGATGCTTATGGGTTGTTTGCCTTTGGCAGGCGTCTGTATACTTATACCAGGTGTCCGCGGCGTCTTCATGGGCGAAAAGATGTCGGCGCGTAGTTGTGGGGCTGGTGAAGAGGGAGGTGAAGAGTCGAAGTCTAGCAGCTTGGTAGCTGCGCTTCGTGGTGTAGGTGCTCCGCGCTGGCCGCCGGTGCGAGGGGTGAACGCACCCGTCGGTTTGTACTTTCTCGGACTGATAAGTGGCGTAGCTTGTACGCGGTATGTCTTGTCGAGAACGCGATGAAGCAGCGGGTCGTTGTTGACGTAGGACTGTTTCGTGGCTGTAGGCTGCATGAACGGCGAGGACTCAAAGCCGCTCATATCTGGAAGGGCTTGCGACTTGCCAGGCGTGACAGGTTCCAGCTTTGGCGTCTTCGTGCCGCCAATGTTGGGTCTAAATTCGGATTTCAATGCCTCGTATGGCGAAGACATGCCCGCGAACTGAGGCTGCTCCTCATATTCGCTCTCTTCCTCGTCCTCGTGGTGTTTGCCTCTTGTGTTGGAAGGTGGAGCCCGCGGGGTGCTGTGTCCGAGCGAGGGCGAGTCGAAACCGAGAGTCGATTCGGCGTCCTCTTGTGCAGATAAGGGTCGCGGTGGTGTTGTCGTCGTTCCAGTCACGGTATCCTCATCCTCGACCGTCTCATCATCGTACGTTTGTGACTGTTCAGTCTCATCTTGTACAGCTGATTCGTCTTGCTCGGGGGCTTCGTAGCCCGAGAGAGACACATTGGCGCTGGCCTCGAAGAACTGTTTCCAGAACTTGGAGCCTTCCCAAACAGCTTCCGAATGTTTTCCGTATTGTTCGACGATTGGAAGAATACCGGTTGTTACGATGCGATGGGCGCGGCTGAAGTTTTGGTCGATTTCTGCTTGTGTCAGTCGCGATGGTGGGGTGCTCAAGGATGTGTTTACCTTGCAGTGTGAGAGTGATGGACTGCTCCAGCTTCTCCAGTTCCTCTGTCAGCGACAGATTACGCTGCGGCGCCATACTCATGCGCGACATGGTGTAGTTCGCGTCTAGCAATGGTATGCGCGATCGGTGCCCGACGCGCTTTGTCGTGTTCGGGACGAAGACTCGCGATTCCTTGGCACCCCCGAAGTTCCCCGCACCTTCACCCAACACTAGTCTGCCCATCACGCGTCTGTCGTTAACGATGCTTTTCCCAAACTCGACTCATACCTGCTCAAACAAGCGTGCGGAACCGTACCGCTCGACTCGTGTAACTACTGCACTCGCACTAGAATGGCAAGGTTATCAACGTCATTCCCGGACCTTTTAAACCCGATGAGGATGCGTAGGTTTGCGCCATGCAACCGACATGCCCATGGTACGAGAGGGGTTATGCATACGCTACGCCTGTTCCGCATGCCCGGTTAGCCCATCTGAGCTTGCCGGTACTGTCGATGAGGAGATCTGGGGTAATGTATATGCATATGTAGCCGCTGAGGTGCATGCTCGACTGCCTCGTTGTCTCCTTAGTTTACCTCTCCTTCGCTTCTTCGTATTGGGCTCTCGACTTGCTATCACGCCAGAACAACAATCATCATGTCATTTCGTCTACCAACAAGAACAGTGTGTCAAGCTGTTCCCAGACTCACAAGTATACCACGAGTGGCTTCCCGAACACCACGATGGGCGCGTAGCTACGCAGTCACTTCAGACCAGAATAGAACAGCCATCGTAACGGGCTCTGCTCGCGGAATGTGAGACTCTTCTACTTCATGAATATACTCAATAGGGTTGACTAACCTGTGACAGCGGCAAGGCCATTGCTCTCCGACTAGCTAATGACGGATATGATGTCTGCATCAACGACATTGAAGCTAACAAAACTGGGGCTGATGAGGTCGTGAAAGAGATACAGGGTCTAGGGCGAAAGTCTTTCGCATATACCGCTGACGTGTCAAATTTGAACGAGGTCCAAGGCCTGGTGAAAGCATCGGTTTCCGAACTAGGACCTTTAAACACCATGGTAGCGAATGCCGGCATCGCGCAAGTCAAGGCACTTCTCGATCTTACCGAACAAGATCTCAAGCGCATGTTCGAAGTCAACGGTAGGCCTGTTTTAGTACTGCTTGGTGAGAACTTGCTGATAGTTCCACAGTATACGGCGTCTACAACTGCTACTCCACAGCTGCTAAGCAGATGATCTCTCAAGGCAACGGCGGCAAGATCCTAGGCGCAGCGTCAATCGTGGCATTCAAGCCCTTTGCGCTTTTGTCTCACTACAGCGCCTCCAAATGGGCGGTCCGTGGCCTTACTCAAGCTTTCGCCATGGAAATGGCTGAACACAAAATCACCGTGAACGCATATGCGCCCGGAATCGTCGGTACAGCCATGTGGGATCTCATTGACGAGAAGCTAGGCGAGAAGACCGGAGCGAAGAAGGGCGACACGATCAAGAAGTACACCGACGAACTGATTGCGTTGGGTCGGACTAGTGTACCAGAGGACGTGAGCAGTACGGTGAGCTTCCTATGCAGTAAGGACAGCGACTACATGACGGGCCAGACTATCGTCATTGACGGCGGTATCATCTTCACTTAATTTATCTTGGTAGTTGACAATAGCAGCTCCGCTATCTACGTACCTGTGTCATTTTCTATTGCTGACAACTATTTAATCGTCGTATATATCTGACAGGCCACTTGGCAGAGCGAGAGTAGATTGATTATCGGGTCGGGTGTAGGATGTTACCTAGGTATGATGGCTAAATGATCTTCATCGTACACTGCGGTTATATGAACATAGCTATAGCCCTGCCAGGCTATTCTAGTTTGTTCGTGTCTTTTCCTCCCTGTTCCTGTTCGTTCCAGACTCTTCGGTACGGAGCTGTTTGTGTATGGCAAACTTGCTAGATTTAGTTACTTATGTTCGCTTACATGTACCATCACATCAGATCAACTACCTACTAGTTGCCTCCGTCACATATTTCCAAGCTCTAACCAAACACCCAACACCAACCCATGGCCCCTCCAAGTCTCAGCGGGCTGCTTAGTCGACGTGGGAGCAACCGACCCGAACAACATCCAGCGCAGTCACCTCACCAGCAGAGCGCGAACGCAGCTCAGGAAGCTGGCGAAAGTTCGAAATCCACCGAACTGCGCGCCAAACACATAGAATGGCTTGAAGAGATGGGGGAATTGAGCAGCTTCCTAGTCGCTGTGGAGAGCGTTCCGATGTCGCAGGACGGATACAAAGTTTTGAGAGATTTCACTGAGCAAATGAGACGTCGCATCGAATCTATCATGGAGGAGATAAAGAAAGAGATCGATAGGGGATTTACTTGATGCAAACGGCAAGTTTCACTGCTGTACGACGATGGGATGAGGTGGTCTAGTCCTTGGTTTGTTAATCCTTTTTGCATCTTGATGACGAGTGAATCGTTCGTTAGCAGTCGCTTGATGAGACTGTTGTCCTCTTCCGCATACATGTCATCTCATTCGATCGTGCGCAACTTTCATAAGTAGTAGTTGAGCCCACGAATCAAAGCCACCTTCCTGAGCATCTGCCTTCACTCACGTTGATCCTATACAGCCTTGACCTCCGACTACGACCGGAAGAATCTGCGCTTCTAGAAATCTTGGTTTGACTTTGACTGCGACCGAGACACCATCATGAACCTCTCGCTCCCAGCATCATTGGAACCTCAGGAACAAGAGATGATTCACCGTCTTACAGCACTCGATGGAACGGTTTTCACGCCCCCAGCGCTCATACAGCGTGAAGTCAACGGCGGGTCCATCCAATCGAACGGTTGTAATGACAACGAAGTTTTTTCGAGAGTAATCACGTACCAGTACGGGACTAGAACTGACCCTCGACTACACTCTGTGGTCAACACAGTCGGGGAGGTGCTGAATGCGCTTTACACCAGGATCGATAGGCTCGAGGTGAGCAACGTGGCATTGCAGAACGCGTTGGATAGAGTGCAGAATGCTTTGGATGTGGAACGTCGAAGAAACATGCGCCGTCAAGATTATGACTCCAGTCGTCAATACTACTGATGTGAGTAGATGTTGAGAAGAATTCAGTGGGAGACGAGATTGATTAGTGTTTTGTTACTTTCGTGATATACCAATAGATCATCATTTTTACAATATGGGCGCTGGTGCGGAGTTCTTCATCTCCAGCATGACAAGGACTGCGAGGTATACCATCTTTTCGAATGCTGTATGACGACGGCTTGTCAACACCGGTAAGTTTGTGTGCTATGACTCTTGGTCGGTAGATGCAGACGTTGCTGTGAGTTATGAAGCAAGCGCTCGCACATCATCTGTTTGATCACACCCCCAGGTCTTCATCAACGACTGCTATGTGTTCGCAACAGCAATAACAAACCGCGATCGTTGTTCTATTACTTATCAGCTAGATCTAGCCGTCTAGTCGTTCGTCTGCCACATCGTCAGTTGTCGAATCAAACGCGATTGATGACGATGAAGTCTTTGAACATAAGTACAGCTCATCCGAGATCTACAACACTCGTCTTGTTGACGCTTCATCATCCACATTTCGAATCGCTGATACCTCGAAATTCTTGAACACAATGAGCCCTCGCAAGAACATGAAGAAGGCTGAAGAGCAACACCCTCCAGCACCGTTCGCGGAGGACGACACCGCTTCCCAAGGTGATGATGCGTTCGAAGGGCTCAGTCAAGATTTCATCGAAGAGTATTGGGCGGCCTACGACGCGCTGGATAACCTGAATCTTAACGACGACGAAAACGAGAATGGAAACGAAGACTCTTCCGAAGACTCACAGTCCACCCCAGACGGATACGAGCAAGAGCAGAGCGGCGAGACTCGCGGCCAAATCCAATATCTGCGTTCGAACGGAAACGAGCCTCCTTTGCAACACCGGGTCAATTACCGTACCATTGTTGACCCAACTCAACGTGCACCAGCTCCGGTCCAGCAAAACCCGGTTCCTGTAGCTCCACCTCCAACGATCCATCTTCGAAATGCTGCGAACCCTGCTTTTATGGCCGGCCCAAATGTGCCGCAAGCTGAGCCTGTGTGGTACTCCGTTGAGGGCATTCCCGAAGCGATTGAACGATATGATCAAAATCATCGAAGGCATCGTCGATTGGCGCTTCCTTTTCACGGCGAACCCTTCGAACAACGTCACCTAAGGGCCTCGGCACCAGGAAGATACAGTCGGGGTGTTGAAGGCATGCCCCGCCACTTGTTTCCTCATCGATCTGCGCCGATAATGCGTCGTCCCAACGGAAGACAGGACGAACGAATACCGTTTGCGCCGCCACGTCCATTGGATAGAGACATGGCTCCTCCTATGGAACGCGACCTCCTATTTGAAATGTGGGCCGATGCCTTTGTTGAGAGTAGAAGGATGGAGCAGGATATGGCAGCATTCAGACAAAGACTTGAGCGGCTGTACAAGTTCAACTATAGGTCTTAGCGTTGAGGTGGACGCATCTGGCTCGTGATTTTCGGTTTTCCAAGAATCTCGGTAGAGTTTCTGGTTGTCATATCGCTGGCGTAGCCGTTCGCTCATTTGTTTGTCTCTTTCCATAACCACGCGTTGTCATCTACGTGTGTACTTGCTGTCGCAACACAACACTCTTTATCTGTAGCCTGTTAGCAACATCATTACTAAATCCCCATTCATCGTTCATCGCGAACATTTCGCTACATAGCAGTCATGTCTTCCTACCAAAGATCCAGCGCATCGCCCTACTATCTTCCGCTTGATCCTCAACCCTACCAGCAGCGATATGCACGAAGCCCATCTTCGCGAGCACCGATGCACAATCCCTACGATTGGATGTATATGAGCGACATCCTCCACAACGACATGCGAGCGATGATGGAGGACATGCGGACAAGGAGAAAGCAGTGGCAAGAAGAGAGGGAGAAGATGCGCGAGACAATCCACGGAGGCGGCGCGGACCAATGCAGCGATAGTATGATATGAGGCGTCCCATGATGAGGTCAACAATAGTTGTCTGGAGATGAATAAGGCGTGTGTTGGTTGTGAGGAGTGTATGCGTTGTATACTTGATTGTGCAATTTCGCGATCAATATTGGGCTACCACTAAGCGTTGCAGTGGTAGAATGAGTTTCTTCAATACCTAGCCGAGTTTAGCATGGAGTACATGTGAAAACCCGGGACCAACCGCCGGTCAGATTTCGGTATCACAGATCTGAGTAAAGTTAGTTACCCCTCGAACGCTCTGTATTGACCAGTGAGGGCGTGCACCAGGAGCTTACATGACAGCATGTGTCGACATACCTTCATTTGATGTCCTGTATTACGTATAGGCTGCGGTGTCCTAGGGAGTGGCAAGCCAGGTATATGCTATGCGGTTGCAGATAGCCACGACATGCCTAGAAAGCGGTGATTGACGTATAAGTCATGAGCTCAGCAGTAAAGACAGCAATCGCCAAGACAATCGCGGAGTGCTGAATAGTATAGCACATCCGGGATGGCCGTACATTGGTCGTACAAGCTACGATGGTTCCACGCAGGTAAGAATGTCGGGGAATCGGCCCGTGGTAGCCAGCCGACTGAACAACGGTCAAACCAGGTGGCAAAAAATGCCTGTGAGGTAACTGGGAGTAACTTGGCGTTCGTTAGTGAGAGGCCGACATTGATGATTCGCAAAAGAACGATATGATGAATGAAGCGGCGACATGGAATATCGGCGATGCTCTGGTGGCATTTGAGATCACAAATAGCGGACAATTCCTCCGTATGCCAAACACCAGCCCCTCTTTGGTAGCATGCAGATCGCTTAGATTCTCATCGTGAAACCCTCGGCTACGTAAGACAGACGAACGGGGCGTACAATGGTTTTCGTTATGATACCCCACGTCTTGGGTAACGACCGATCGGATATCCCGATAACGTTTGCGCGCGTCAATCTCGGGTTTGCTCTATCTCTGCCAGCAATGAGGAATGTCGCAACCGATACAAGGAGTGGTGAAAGCCGGCCACATTACGTCTTGTATTCAGCATATGACTTCGAGTCTTTCCAGGCGCTACACAAACCCTGATGCCTCACTGCACCTCGGTACAGTCGTCTGTCGAGGAGCGCGTTCGTTCTTGTGCGATCGACGCGGTCGCGTTGTTTGCTCAACTTTGTTAGCGGTCGGCTAGACAAAAAGACGTGGCTGAGCTTTTGCCTCCGCCCAGAAGCTTGGGTGAATGAAGAATAGCTTCCGATGATAGACCGCTCCCGCAATGACAACACAATGCTCCTTATTGGTAGACCCTACGCAGTCTATCGTCGCCCTAGGTCAAGACTCACGATGCGAAACGTTTGAGTGGCACTGGTGACCCTGGAGCCAACTCAACTCCCGAATTGTGAGATCCTGCTTTTGGCACACGTGGACCATTCTGTCTGCCTCAGGCGTGCTCTGTCTATGGTATAAGATCAGCTCATACTCATCCGTCATCTTCTCACAAAATTCCGCACATCATTATACCCTTACTTGTCGCTTGGTTTTGCGACAGGCATCGTTTCTACCAGTCGCGATAGCATCGAAGCGATGTATGAAATTGCTCCTTTCAAACGGCATAAACGACATGGCATGCGGGGATACCAATGGCCAGCTTTCGATCTAGGAGGTTTTGGCGGCCATGGTGGTATGGGTGGTCTGGGAGGGTATCCAGTGTGGGATACCGGCTTTGATACTCCATACTATGACGTGCCGGGCTCAGTCGAACAGGCGACGCGATCACATGTTGAGGCCCAAACCGAGTTTGAGAAAGCAAAGGAAAAGTACGAGGAAGCCAAGAAGAAGTTCGAGGAATGTGAGAAGAAAGGTAAGTAATCTCCACGTATCCATGTGAAGCATACGCTGACTTTGCTCCTGTGCAAGTGGAGAAAGCCGAGCAAATGCTGAACTTGGCGAAGCATCGTGCTGGAGGTTGGTGGAATTGATGCAGTCATTGTTGAGTGGCTGCTGGCAGCACAACGTGAGTGGGGGCGAGGAAAAGCCCGTTGGTGTCTCAAGCTCCGGGGATAGACGACCCGTGTAACTTTGATTTCGCGTTGTTCCGTTTGGTGGAGATCTTGTTTTAGCCTGTAAGGAGCTGCAAATGCATCGTTGGCCAGGAAGAGATGAATGGATGCGCCGTAAGCTAAGTAAACTTGAGCTAGAGGCAAATGAAGGCGCCCCAGCCCTACACGTATGTGTAATTACATCATACAGTGTGTTGTATAGAGACCGGTGGCCACACGATACTAGCTAAGGTACATGCTATGGCGTCTGCGTTTGGCGCGGCCGATCGTGGTGTGGGTGCTATCGTAGCAGGTATGTATTACGTTTGGACATCGCTTTCGTTTCGTTGTTCGTCGTTCGTCGTTCGTCATCTGGCTGATAATCTGTGTTGGTCAAATCAAAATCTTGGACATATAATTGCTGCGTCTAGGCCTCCAGTATGAGTGCAACCTGGGCAGTTATTGCACCAAAGCGCTACGATACCTTCCAACATGACCGCTCATGCTGCTTCAACTGCTCGCGAAGCTCAGGCTTCCAAGGCCACAGGTGTACCTCGTGCACGACCCGCTCACGAAGAAGTCGAGTATGATTCTGAAGCTGAAACTTTGGTCGAGAGTGAGTCTGATGATGACGGTGATGCTCGTCCAGCACCGGCCAACAATCAGCCTGCAGCTCGTCACGAAGCTGCCCGGCGGCTTCCAGCTAACGAGCCCTGCACGTCTTCTCAGGGCGACATGAACGCAGCGGTCCGCGCGCAAAAGGCGAAAGAGATGGAGAACGCGGTCCAACGGTCCGAGTCGCTCATTGGGGGCGCTGGGCGAAAGGCATGATGGAAGAATTCCTGGCGAGCGTGAATTGGCGACACGAGCCTGATCGAATGTCGATTAAGAGAGGGACTTTACGCGACAAAGATTGCGGTGCGAAGCTGGCAAGGATTGTTGAAAGCGAAAGATGGAGAGGGAGCTTCAGTGTGACCGCAAAGACGCGTGCGCGTCGAGTATCTCGCGCTAGTATGTTTGCAGCTTAGATCAACCACGCCGCTTCGTGATTCAAATGTTCTGTCGTCTATCCCCGCGCGATCGCGTAACATCTCCTACCTCCCTGTGCTTCACCCATTTCAACGTGTTACTTGTCATATAGGACCTTGTTCCATCATGGATTCGGCTCCGAGGCCACCCTCTCCGCCTACCTTTAGATCCCGGGTTAAGCGGTATACGGAAGACACCCGGAACGTAGCGGCATGGCTTCGCCAGACCGCTTTGAACTGTGGATATGCCGCCAGCACTGCATCATCAAGCGTAGAATCTTGTAACGGAAAGAAAGCCGAATATCTCATCAAGACGTCTGAGTTCATTCCCATGGCTGAGGCCATCGCGGCGCACAAACCCCAACCCACGATTCCGCAAGATGTATTAGCCACAATTTCCCGAGCTATCAGACTGCGCCGCAGAGAAACCCGATACGTCAAGTTATTCGGCGCGAAATGTAGGCAAAGCCAGCTCGGAGACAGCACACATACCCATTTCACCGAGAAGGTGCTGGGCAAGGTTCGAGACGTGCTGCGGCCAATAGTCCAACCTACTGCACCTGAACCCCAGGCAACTACCGCATCGTCACTCAGCGAGAAGCTTGCTTCGTTCTTCGGTTCTGAAACCGACGAAGCCGACAATATCAGCGATGAGCCTTTCAACAATCTCACACCCGTACACATCGACTTCGATGATATGGAGGTTGAAGACGAATTCTTCTTGGCTATTGATGCCTTCATGGAGGACGTTTTCGTTATGCGTCAATACGTTGAGTACATTTGGACTATGTACAAGGAATCCGTGATGGAGAACAACGTCTGCTCGCTGTTGACGAATACAGCAATAGATGTCGTTCGTCTAGCTGAGAATGAATTTGCTAAGCTGATCAAGCGACCCAAACGCTTTCCGGCAGACAAATTTCCTGTCTGGACGCTTCCAGCATTATTGTTCTATAAGCGGACCCCTACGCTGGAAGATAGATTTACGTACGAGGAATTTTCGGGTCTAATGCCAATCAAGCTGCTTCGCAAGGACGTTGAGGACCAGAGCGATTTCGCCTTGTTCTCGGTCTTTTCAGGGCTCAAATGGTATCTCTACACTACTCCCGAGCAAGGTCCCTACACGCTTGACCCCGCTCGATTCAAGCAATCAGAGATGAACTGGCACCCGCACCTGCCACGGGTCGTCGAGATGTGCCAAATGATGCAGTGGCAAGCCGGGATTCAGTTCTCTCCTGAGTTTGAAGGCTTTCCTGACGGCGTTGCTGAAGACGAAATCGCCAGAGGTGTTCGGTATATGACTAAACACAGAGAGATTCCGATCTGGGTGCAGTTCGCTGCTCAGACTTATATCGACATTCAAGATGTACTGGACAGTCTTCTGGATGCGCCATTGAAAGAGCTGCACAAGTGGGTGGCAACATCCAGCTTCAGATTGGATGAGTTTCTCTCTGACAATGCCCGCCTCCGCACGTGGGATCTCACATTGCACGAGCAATTCACCAAACTTACAGGAAGTCTTCTCAAGAGTCAACGATCGCTAGAGCTTTGGCTTAAGCACGATGTGTTCAAGAAGAGTCTAGCAAAATCTTCACCCCCTCATCTGTCCAAATTTAAGCGTGAGGAGAACGCGCTATTACGTCGACATCCATTAGGTTGCGGTGTGCTCCAGTACAATATGTTCGCCAATCTGCATAAACATGGTCTTCAGCTTGAACAGACCTCGGACTGTATCAGACCCATGATATACCTCTACGCGGCGACTCGCCTACTGGTCAAAGATCCCCCAGCATGGCCCGACATGGAATTGCTCATTCTTCGCCAAGATCCCAAACGACTGTTCTTTGGCAAGGAAAGACCAGCGGACTACCAAGAGGTCTTGAAGCATTTTGAATGGGCATTTGGGGAGAGGGACCAGAATCCTTGCCCTGAACGAGTGCAACATCTTGTGGACCCTAGCATATTGACAGGTATCTTCCACGACCGGTTCAATCACCGCGTGGAAAATAGCGAAGAGATTGATACAGTAGTGTCGAAGTGGGAAGCACTGGTTAGCAGCAAAGAAGGCATGACGCATATGCTTCGTCAAACGAACTTCCCTACAGCGAGGCACACTGAAGCCATAGAAGCACTTCAGAAGCAGACTCAGAACAATAAGCCAGATGCGGTACTCAACCGGCTCAGTACGTGGCTAGAGGCGGATGCTATCGATCTCAACTTTGACTGGCTGACCTTGCACAACATGTGCGTATCCTTTTGGGGTGATCTTTACCCCAGGCTCGTCGAGTCCAGGAAAACCCTGTCCTTCAAACCAGAAACTTTCCGCAAGACGCCTCGCCCACAAATTGGCCTCGTTAGACAAATACTGCGCGAAGCGGTCCAAGCCTACAACACTTCTCAGAATTTAGCACTTGAAAGCTCTGCATATACGTACGGGCAGGGTCTTCGGATTGCGGCTGCTCTGTTGAAAGAGACAGTGACGGCGCCAATGGATAGCACGAAATGGGGTCCCACCACGGAAGGCGATATCTGTATTCGTGCCACGATGATACAAGCTTCTAGTTCTGCGCAAATATTGCACTATCCGGGCGCCTACTACATGATACCCGGTCCGGCACATTTGTCAGAGCTCTATCGGGGCTGGGACATGACGGTTTTGGACGACTTTCACACAGTGCAGGTTGCTGGTCTTTCTCACATAAAGTTGGAACATTTTCATAAGAAGAGAAAAAAGGAGCTGAAACAGCAACTCGACGAGGACGATGTCTTTCGAAAGCAGGCAGCAAATGCTGAACGAAAGAACTCTGAGCAAGGCTCATCAGCGCAGAAATCTACGAAGAAGCCAAAGAACCTAAAGAAGAAGAAGAAGGGTAAAGGCACAGCCTTTTGATGCAAGATGTATCGAATAGACTAGGAGGACGACGATGCCTTTTACAAAATACATGGCCTGTATGAAGAGTCTTAGTGTTCATTTGTCGTAGCCCTAGGGTATTCACGTCGCCTTTCGCTTATCGAGATTTGAATTTAGCGACTATGTATTCTTCAGGGTGTCATTAGTTTTCGCGTACAACTCGCTCAAAATAGTTGTCTTCGTGAAATGCCGCGTCTTCACACTGTGTCCTCTTGCTCGCCTCATCGCCTTTGCCGCAACGCCATTAGTATCCCCATCTTTTAATTCCATGAAAAGGTCAACAGACAGATCTCAGAACGGCACTTCATGTGCGAGAGGGCCGCCAGCGACGGATTGTGATGGTGTCCTCGCTGCAAGCCGCAGCAAGAGCATAGTAAAACCGATGCACTCGTACATGTATCCAATCTCAACGTTTTCATCACTTGTCAGGTCTCGTAATGTCTCGACATACATTTAGCGCTGAGACTCTTCACAGTCAGGAAGACCGTTAATCTTGTCTTCATTAATCGTGTTGACCTCGTGAGGTTTAAACAATTGCGAAGGAGGCTGGGGAAAGGGCACATCCAAATGACGTCATCGCCGTTCGGTCTTGGCAAGATTAGCTTCTCGCGTCGCGGCGCGTCCTCACAGCCTGACACCTTATGCACACACTGCCATCTTCAAGCCTTGTTATCGCTTATGCGCAAGCTCGTATCCAATCTCGGACTCTGAACATCTCGGCCGACTTTAACTTCACGATCGATCCCCGTCGCGTCGCGTAGCCCGTATTCTGCCACCTTTCTCGAGAGAGTACTATCACATTTTCCCGACATCCGGGCTCTACGCACTCGACAACCGCTGTTCAATATCCTACATCGCCCTTAGGAAATACCAATCGTCTCAACATATTGGCTCCTAGGGGATTTGAGGCCTCGTTCGTGACCATGCCCAGGTGTAGCGCTCACCTTGCGTTGCCCATTGCGGATACCGATCTATCCATGGATCCTTCGGGTCTTCGTCATGTTAAGGCCGCAGCTGCATCTTTCATGCTGCGGGATCTTTAACATATGACCATGCGATAGCGCCTCAACACAGCCAACCCACACTTCTAACTGTCTAGAGACGTTATGCCGATCTCTGACACCCGATATGCCGAAAGACACTCGGAGTTTTGAACGAACGCCGAAGTCGAGGCGTGCCATAACAAGTTCTCCTCTTTACCTAACCGATAGTTCAACCACCACTCATTCCTTCGGCGGTACTAGTGCCTCGATCTTGGCAGTCCTCGTTGCTCCCAATGACAGAAGCGGGGGACGGCTTGGCACATGCAAAGACACTATCTCGCAGCGATAAGATACACCACAGCATGTAACCCCACCTTTCCGCCAGGTGGGTTAACGACGCATCGAGGCTACGACTTCCTATACAGCAATAGTCTCATGTGTCGCGGATACGAAGCATTCATAATGTTACGGTCGGTTTCCCACAAGATTCGGATGTTTCAGCCTGATAAAACACTGGACAGGATCCTGAAGATATTGGATAGTAGCAAGACATGTGCTTCGCTGGTTACGAACAAGATGATAACAGATACCAGACATAGGGTCAAGTTCGAGACAGAGTGTACGAAGACATGGACTGTAAGACGCGGTGATGTCCGTGCTGCGCCCTTCCCCGGAAGTGGTCAGGCTGAGTGGAGACTGTTCCTTGCAGGCCCTTACTACCTCTGATTCCTCCTCTTATCGTTGTTCGAGCCTGAGATACCATCTTTCCTCGTTGTCATCGTCGCAAGTCACTAGAGTCTTATCTGGGACCGCAGCGCTCGCGACGGTGTATAAAGTGTAAGAGAAGTGCCGGGAAATGTCCACAGCATCCTTTGCTAGTACCGTTGATCAACATGCGTTGCTCAGCTCTGGTCTCGACCGTTCTTCTCGGTATAGCGAGCTCTTCCACCATCCCCTTCCTTGGATATGATAGAAGAGTAGCGCGAGACTACTTTGACAAACGCACCGACAATGGAACGGCATACTCTTGCTTGACTGAGGCTGCTACCACCACAGTAGCGCCAAAGACTAATCCATGGGCTCCTTTGACACCGGATGAGAATCTCGCCGTCTGGACAATGCTCCATTCGCCATCCTCCGGTCTCAATCTTACTGATCCCACGAAAGCTGTGCTTACGGACAACTACGTGTACGTTATGCTCGAAGTGGTGTTTGAGGAGAAGAATACGCGGCTGACAGGTACCAGATTCTGGCTTGATGCATTGCACACCAATAAGACCGATGTCCTGAAGTACATGGACGAGGGTGCAGCAATGCCCGCCAAATACGCCCGAGCCATCATCTTCCAAGGTGGGAAAGCTGAGCCAGACTCCCAAGAGTACATGATCGGCCCACTTCCCGTATCTGCAGAAACCAAGATCGGGAAGCTGGATTACATCTACAACGGCGGCTCCGGTGGTTCCGTGCCATACAACGCCAGGTACTTCGACGGCCCAAGGACGACGGCAACCGAGCCGCTCATCACATCCATCATGTCGAACATCTCAGACATTACAGCAGCTCTCTTCCAAGGAGGTGTTTACTTCGGATCGGCCGACGAAAGAACCAATCTCTCCTCGACGACTGGCACGCCTATCTCTTTCGATGGCTCTAGCGCTTTTCGTAACATCATGTTCCGCTTTCCAGGTCCAGCAACTTACATGACACCGCTAGACTTCTATCTCCTAATCGACTGTAGCGGCACTGATCCTTCTCTCTACTCACTGAAAGGATTCGTGACAAATGAAAAGTTTTACCATACCATTGCAGACCTACGGGGTGCATTCGAGTCAGGCGATCTTGCTATGGAGTTCGACCAGACTCTCGATGCGAGTTGGGCGCTAGTCGACTACAAGCCTGAGCTAGGCGTGCGAGATCTGGAGGAGCGGCTCGCGCCAAGCACTCTGGAAATCGGAGGAAAGCGATACAAGCTTGACAAAGAGAACCAGTATGTTGAGTATATGGGTTGGTCATTTTACATGTCATTCTCGAGGACGCTTGGCATCATGTTCTATGACATCAAGTTCAAAGGTGAACGTATTCTTTACGAGTTGTCGATGCAAGAGGCAACTGCTCAATACGGTGAGTATTCCTTCTGTCTCTTACTGGACAAGAACTAATTACTACAAGGTGGCAACCAACCGAAGGCTGCCAATACAGTATACCACGATACCTACTATCAGCTTGGTACTGAGATGGGCAGCTTGGTAGAAGGCTTCGACTGCCCGTGGGGATCGACATTCTGGAACATTACTTACCCATCTTACAACAAAACGGCCGTCAATAAGAACGCAATCTGCATCTTCGAAACCGACATGAACTTCCCGCTCTCACGTCATCGCACGGGCGCATCCAACGAATACGGTTTCAGCAACCTCGGCAGCGTCAAAGGCGCTGGACTGATTGTTCGCGCGATTGCCACAGTTGGCAACTATGACTACATGTTTGACTACTCCTTTCACATGGACGGCTCGCTAGAAGTCATTGTACGAGCATCTGGATATCTGCAATCTAGCTTCTACTATCCGGCGCAAGCAAAATTCGGACCGAGAATCCAACAAGCCACCCAAGGCTCACTTCACGATCACATTGTTACGTACAAGGCAGACTTCGACATCGTCGGTGCGGCGAATTCGCTTCAAGTTTCGGAGTTGGTAGTTGTCAATCAAACACAACCTTGGTTTCCTGAACTTGGCGAATTTGAACAGATGGAGATGAACATCACATACATGGCCGAAGAGCAGCAGTTTAACTGGGCACCCAACAACCAGGCTATGTACGTCGTGTTGAACCCGAACGCCACCAATGCCTGGGGTGAGAAACGCGGCTATCGTCTCGTACCTGGCCGTTCCGATATCCATCTCTCAACCCTCAACTCTCCATGGTCACGCAAGAACTCCGAATTCGCTAAATCACATCTAGCCGTTACAAGGCAGCACGATAACGAGCCATTTGCCAACAGCGTTCAGAACATCAATCTCCCCTTCACGCCGCAGCAAGACTTCAGCAAGTTCTTTGACGGCGAATCCATCGAAGGTGAAGATCTTGTCATTTGGTTCAACCTTGGCATGCATCACTACACTAGGAGCGAAGATGTACCTGTGACCTTGTATACGGAGGCTTATTCCAGTATTGTATTCGCTCCGCAAAACTTCTTCGACAGGGCGCAGGATGGCGATCTACTTAATCGCAGGTGGATTGAGGTCGACGAGAATGGAAACATGACATTCGAGACCTATGGTGTAGGGCTAGATGTTTGCCCAGTTATTTTGGACGAGCCTACAGCACTGCTAGGTGGTGGTGGTGAGCTGTAACAAGCGACGATTGGCCAAACCAAGACACATCGAAGTATTAACACTGTCAATTGACAGCGCGTCGCGATCTGGTGACGGCCACCGCTTCACTCTGTCATACGTGACATTCCATCACGCCAGCATTCTCTTCATCGAAAGTGATTGTTCGTAACTATGCAATACGTGAACACACAATGGACAAGATCAGGCTTGACGCCATAGAAGTGGTATATGTTGTTTTCTTCTCTTGCTACAACACCACACCTCTTTCGTCCATAATGCACCTTCCGATTGCCACCACTATCGCCGCTGCAGGCTTTCTCGTTGCCTCGCAGTCAGGTTCTTCAAACCGCGTAACAAACGCCGTGTCGTCGCCAGCCTCTACCGCGACTCTAGTGGCTCGCCAAGATGATACAAAGCCGCCACCCTTTGTTACGTCCATCACCTTCCTTACCTCGATAGCATTCGTAACTGCCGAGCCGTCTAGTATGGTTATTGTGCCATCGCGTAGTCCAGATACCTCTAAGCCTCCACCAGCCCCGTCAACTACGACGGAAACGCCGACAAGTACCGAACGACCATCTACTACGACCAGCGCTACTACGACCAGCGCTACTACGACCAGCGCTACTACGACCAGCGCTACTACGACCAGCGCTACTACTATACCTTCTCCAGCTTCCACTGAGACTGGTACAAGGTCCACAGAAACATCCGCAACATCTCCCACCGCATCTCCAACCCAAACCCCGCACCCAGATGTCGACCCCGGCCCCTGGCTAAGCAGAGGTAAAATTACCGGAATAGTCGTGGGCTCCGTGTTCGGCTTCATCCTCCTCGGCTTGACAATCTACGCACTTTTCGCAGCATACCGCGGTATCAACGTCTGCGATTGTTTTGGTGGTTGTTTCGGCAAACGCGACAACGACGATGACGCAGAAAAGGGCCCATCTCGCTTACCTTCGCGGTCAGAGGACACGTATCCACATCCTGATGCTCTTCAGCCTGTAGGTGGCTATAGAGCTTATCGTCCTGCCCGGCCGGTGAGTTATGAGCCACAGCAGCAGCAGCAACAGCAGGTTCCGCTTCCGCTGCAGGAGAGGACAGCAGGGAGACTGCAGAAGGGGTATCGAGGTGTTTAGAGTAGACGACTCTGGTTGATGATGATTATAGAATAATTCCAAAGGCGATAGCTTATCAACTACTGTTATAGGCTCGACGAAAGTGACAAGAGAATCGTTTATTTCATTAACATGGAGCAAATTTTATAACCCATCAAATGTCCCGCGATCAGCAAGAAAGATACATGTTCCCATCAACCACGCGCTAATTCTCCGCCATCTTCACAGCCTGCCTAGAGAAACTGTCCACCCTTGGCACGTTCGGCCTACTGCGGCGCTTCGTCTCCATCATGCGCTGGCGAATCTCTTCCGAGAGCCAACCCCGACACGCCGAGATGGAAGGCTGAACAACGCGTTCCTCAAACGTCGCGACGTCTTGTACAACAAGCACCATGTAGTTGTTGGCCCACTGGTGCACTCCTGGGATAAGCTTGCCGCGTATCCTGTTGAGCTGCTCCTCAGCATACGAAACCGTCCGCTTCTTCATCTCCGCAATTCCCTCGTCCAGGTTTTGTTGGTTCTTCCTGCCTTCGTTCCAGCTCTCGACAGCTGGTCGCAGTTCCGGGTATCCGATAGCCTTCCAGATGCCCTTCGAAAAGTCTGGGCAGCCCAATAGTCTTTGCTCGAGCTCGTAGAGTAGGCGTACTTCTTCGATGAGGCCTTCGTCGATCATTTCGTCTACCCGTTTGTCCAGCCTAGGTTTCAGGTGCGACAGCTTGGAGTCGAGGAAGATGACTGACAGATCGCATTGCTGGACGAAGGGATGCGAGAGGAGTGGCTCGGTTAACGATATGGATCCACCGACCAGAAGAGGGGTCTTGCCGTCGTCGTGTATTTGCTGGATGCTTGAGATAGCGTTTCCGACAAAGGTGGTTGGTTCCTGGTCGGGCTGCAGATAGTCTATCAGGTGGTGCTTGATACCATCCATTTCCTTCGTAGTAGGCTGCGCCGTTATGATTCCTCCACACTGATAGATCTGAAGACTGTCCACGGAGATGACCTCGCCATTGATGGCTTTGGCGAGTGCGATACCAAGCTTGGTCTTTCCAACGCCTGTCGGACCGATGATCGCAATGATAGATTTGTGTCCCATTGTGTAACGATTTGGATGAAGAGAGGACTGATGAGATGTGTGTCGTAGACTTCGCAAAAGGAGAAGATGTGATAGTTGTGAGTGAGTTAGAAGGACAGTGCGCCACAGGGTGTCTTTATGAGCAGAAGAGTGGCTGCTCACAAAGCCCAGGCTTCCTTCGTCGACCAACTTTCTCCAGAATACACTTTAGCTATGACATGGTCGATTCCCTGAAACCTCATTCTTCCTGCTCGCCCATAAGCCGGTGCGACAAGCCGGCGCAAAATGATGTAACAGATCCGGCCAGGAAGATGCATCCGCAAAGGATTGTAGACTCATGTAACCTACAGCATTTCCGGTGCCTCGTATTCAAGGCAAAGTTAAAACTCATGTCGCTTGAGGGTAGATAGACTGCTAAGTCTTAGCGACATCTCAACGAAGAAGACATTGGAGAGTGCGCCGTTGACTCCGACTAAGGCGCCCAGGACTTCGTTTGGGCTCGTCATTGAAGTTGTACCTAGGTACTAGATTCTACGTCACTTGCGGGGCCGAGAGGACACAAGGCATGTGAAACCGTCTTAGCGAATGCGAAGAGTGTTGTGTGCCTAAGTACCCGGACTAAACAGATAATAACCCGAGTGGTCCAAGTGTCGGACACAGCACTAGTCCTTTGATTGGCCGAAACCTCGGCTACCTGGGTACCGGGCCATTATTCTTTTGGCCCGAGTACATACATAGTAACACTCCACCTCGTGGCTCTGAAACAAGATACAAGCTACTGTTAGCGAGATGTAGTTTAGGCTGAACGTGAAAGCTTACAACAACCGTATGGCACAACAGGCTTCGTGATAGTCTGCTGAGTCAACTCCGATGTATAAATCGCGGTGATGAGCTCCAACAGACGATCTCACAACTCGATCATCTGAAGGCTCGACCACTCCTCCCGCTATTCTACGCAGAACTTCGCAAGCTGAATATCGTCAACCATGGGCTCAAAGCAAGTACACACAAAGCCACCGAATGGAACGAGTTCGAAACCATTCACATTGTGTGTCTTCTGTGGTACGTCCCCATGAGTACCCAGGAGTGAATGTGACTGATGAATGGCAGGGTCTAGTGAGGGGAAAGATCCCAGGTTCCGCAATGCCGCCAAAGCGCTAGCGGATATCATGGCGAAGAGATCGTGGTCGTTGGTGTACGGAGGCGGGACTATGGGGTTGATGGGCGTACTCGCTGGAAACGTAGTAGCATCGCAGGGATCCGACGCGGTACATGGTATCATCCCACGTGCTCTTCTACTGGGCGGGCCGCCGCCCCCGCCGGAGGATTTCGGGCGTACAACGGTCGTGGACAACATGCATGAGCGTAAGCGGATGATGGCTGACGAGGCTGATGCCTTTGTGGCGCTGCCTGGTGGTTTCGGGATGCTCGAGGAGTTACTCGAGATGACGACATGGAGCCAGTTAGGCATTCACGCGAAGCCGGTGGTTGTACTCAACGCATCCGGCTTCTTTGACGGTGTGTTTGAGTGGGTGCAAACTGCGATCAAGTCTGGCTTCATCCCTGACGTTCAAGGGGGCTTGATTGGGCAGGCTCGTACAGTTGAGGAGCTGGAGACGTTAGTTACTGCTAGAGAGCCCGTTGAGGGACGATACACGTTCCTTAGATGGACAGGAAAGAAGGATGAGGAGAACGCAGATGGTGAAGACTTGGGGAGCCGAAATGATCTTGTCTCTCCGTAAGCGTTCAACCAACACATGTAGCTTAAAACATATTCACCATCTTACTCTGTCTTCTTGAATAACCTTGACCAATATAGGTAGTGCGAGATAAATGTTTTGCCTATTGTCCGAATCTTACGAATGAGGCATGCAGAAGTATTCCTAGTCTTCGCTTCGCTCATGGCAACCGTGGCCAACTCCAAAGCCATGAAACTGATACAACGAAATACTTTCGTCAACGTGCAACCTTACCTCTCAAGCCATGCCTACTCATCAAACTCACATCACTCCTTGCTCTTCTCCTCATCCAAGTCGACTTCCACAAAATCCAGCTTCCCATTCTCCTTCCTCACACCACTATATTGCACAAGCAGTTCTGAAGATACGCGCGCACTGCGACTATCGCCTAGATCCCCACCCTGGTGGCCGTCGCCGACATACGGTGAGGGGTCATTGTCTTGGAGCTCGATCTTACCTTCAGATTCGATATCCTTGCTTTGTTTAGCCGCACGAGATTTGCGCCATTTGAGAATAAAGAAGAAGACTGTGTAAATTACGACTATACTCGTCGCTGCACCAGCGACAGCAAGACCGATGATAAGGGGACGGTGGTCGGGAATGAGGATTGGCGAGGAGGGTGAACTACGCTCGGTCTTGGCGTGGTTGGGCCAGGTAAAGCCGGATAGGGTTGACATGGTCGCTGTGAGTATAGACTTCGTGACAGGTTGGTGGTGCGTATGTAGTGTTAGTGAGGATGGTACAAAGAAGACAATACCGGGTGGAGCGCTTTAATTTCCCTGTCCGGCTGACGAAATGACGAGAGACTGAGAAGCTTCATGGTAATTTCGGATGAAGTAGTTGTAGTGTTGTGTACTTGTATAGTGATGTCCGTGAATAATGTCGTGAATCGGGTTCCTCGACATACCGTACTTTATACGCAGTATGCCCATTGTGTAAGTACATTACGAAGACGCTCGTTGCTTCTCAGTTGCACCTCTGAGTACACCGCAGCCTTGCGCAATGCGACGTCTTGTGCACTAACGTGTTGTGGAATATGATGCAGCGTGTATCTCCAAGGCGCGAAGCAGCTAGTGCTGCAGCCTGCAAAAGACGTAGTACTCGATGCGGCAAAGGTCCAAGGAAAAGCAATTCCGCAGATCGTCAGCCTCCAGCTTTCTTGTTTGAGCCAAATTCAATCGAGCAACCAGTCGTCATTGCATCGCCCTTGGAGCGAAGTGGTGTGCGTTCCGCATCTCCAGGAACTTTCTCCGTGTTTGTTCTCGTTGCTAAGATCAACCAGGTGTCCCCGGGGGCGCGCCGAAAAACATAACGGGAGGCATGTGTCGCGATGCAGATCACCCGGCCAAATGCATGTCGGGGATCATTCCGTGGCTGTGCCGCAAGCCAGGCGGCCAGCCACTGTGTCAGTTGCACGGCGCGTTGCAGATACATTTCCCACCTGTTAATCTCTCGAATGAGCCGGTGCATCTCGGTCATGCTGTCAGCCTTCTAATGCGCGCGATGAAGGATTGTGTACGACCAATTCGTCGCATCTCCTGTCTGATCAGCGGCGAGAAGGTGATCTGGAAGGGGTTGAATAAAGAATGCGCATGCGAGAATGCGGAGTGCATACGGGACGCCGCTAACCGCAGCCGCATCATTGGGTTTCGGAAAACGCCACCGAATTGAACGCGCGGCTTTACGTCATAAGCGAGAACCTCACATCATGCAACTCAGCTGCGATGCTGAACTCTAACAATAGAACACGATCGAATCAGCAGCCCCAAAAAAACACGTAGTCAGAAAACACAGTCGTTGACGATGTTCATCGATAGAAGAAATTTCACAATAAGTAGCAGAGCATGGAAAAGACGGCGCAACGGGAAAGAAGCGTTGGGGTATTCTGAATGTTTCATTGAAATGACCTATTATAAGTATGCCGATTGGTAAATCCCAAGTGTCGCTGTGAATCATTCTGGTCCCACACCTGTCTCACGAGAGACGAAGCAATGTCAGCTCATGGCTGATGTCGCTAACCGATCGAAGAAACTGTCAAAGGAGACGTTTTGTGACGATGTTGGAAGGAAGCGGTTGAGTGTCGACCCGCTTACAAGAGACCGGCAAGAGCAAGGAGACCACCAGCAACAGCGCCCATGGCGGGGACGTTGTTGGAATCGGCGGCACCGGTGCCGGTGGCGCTCTCGGCAGCGCTGGCGGCAGAGCTGGCAGCAGATCCGAGCGACTGGGTGATAGAGGAGATCTCGCTGGCAGCAGAGCCAGTAGCACTTGCGGCTTCGGAGGCGATGCTGCTGATGGCAGAGTCGGCAGCGCTCTGGATGGAAGAAGCACCGGAGGCAGCGGCAGAGCCGCCCGCGCTGGTGATGGAGGCAGCAGCGGAAGTGATCTCAGAGCCGACGGATGAGGCGACGGAGGCGAGGTCAGAAGGGACGCCGCCTACAGCAGAGGTGATCTGGGAGATGATGGAGTCGACCTGGGCGTTGGCAACGCCGGCGGCGATGACAGCGGTGGCAATGGTGGAGAAACGCATGTTGATGGTTTGGGTGGGTGAGTTGGTTGGGTGAGTGGGTAAAGAGTTGAGTGTAGTTGGTTTGATGTGGAGATTGTTTGAGCTGTAGATGGAGAGTAGAAGGCAGGGCGAGAGGAGAGCTCTTATACCAGGTGAGTGCATAAGAACTAGCGCGCTTGCATGTCGCCATAGCCCCAGCGGCCAGCAACAAACACAGCGGCCACCGCCCTTGCTCGCTTGCGCCTCCTCCACATTTTTTTAGCCACGTAATGCACGCAATTAACTGGCCAGTGAGGCAAGTGACGCCACATGGGAGCGCACTGTCCTTGTCCTTGCCCAGATGCGGCAAGCCATCACAGCCCATCCCAGTCATCGGCAGCCGTTCCTGCTTTTTCGAGTGAAGCTTGATCCGGGGCCGCCTCTGGTTGTTTGAGCCTATGACGTCTGTTGACGAACATTTGTCCGCCGTGTAACGAGATTAACTGGGGCGAGAGGCGTTGCATCCAAGCCACAGCCTGCGACGCCCCGTCTCATCGACAGCGGAGCCATGCATGTCTCTGCAGCTGCCCATGGGACAATTCGGGCTATGGCAAGGCGTGCCAGTGCTATTTCCAGCGTTACAGTGATCAATTCACTCTGAAACAAGTCAGCACTTGTCGTCTGGCCAAGCTTTCTTAATGCTACAGCGACGCGAGTGCGGCGTCGAGCTTGATGACCCTGAAATGCAGGTGCTCACCGGCGTGCGACCAGCGACCGCTATAGCAACCAGCACCACGCTTCCTCTAGCTCGACATCTGCATACCGCGACGCTGCTGCCAACTCCCATCCCCAGCAACTGCACCAAGGTAAGTGTATACGCGGGTCCACCTGCTGTCAAGGCAACCAGCCACGCGTTGTTTGGTGGCCCGGAGTTCGGTGCATGTTCTGTGTACCAAGAAGATGATGAGACGTGCATGTCGTCATTCCCGGCTTCGTCGTGGACGCCGAGGCAAGCAGTTTCTGAGACGCAAACCGCTCCACCGAAACCGGGCGAACGTCAATAAGAAGGCCGAGCTCGAAACCATGACGAAGAGTAATCTTGGGTGAATTGTGGCTCGACAGACGTTAGCTGGCGACGTTGACCAAGATTGGTGGTGTACCTGGCAGCCTTACTCGGGTCCCCTGTCGCGGATGCCGCCAAGCCCGATTTTGCCGTGATTCTAGCCCACAGGATTCTCTCCCGTGCCATGGCATTCTGCACCAACATCTTGATCTCTGATCGTCCTCTCCTATTCCCGACGCGCGTTCTTGATGTCACTCTTGTTCCTCATCGTGATGCAAGTCTCAGTCATGTCCCGAGTCGACTCACTCTGCAATTTCCCATCATATGGTGACATCTCTGCAGCCCTTTGCATCATGACTAAAAGCACTTTCTTGGCCCCCACGAGGCTTGCTTCTTCAAATCAGAAATGCCTTAGCAGGTTGCATGCCACGAGATTGTGCATCCAGGGAACACGTGGAGCTCCCTTGGATGGAGATGCTCTACTGTTATACGGGGCACATGTCAATGCACATACACTTGCTTTATTCCTACAGGCCCGGTTGATCTGGAGTGTTGCAGCCGCTAAGCTGACAGCTGCCGCAGTATTCGTGAGAATGCTAGGCCGACCGACCTACAGGTGTCATATCGTCGTCAAGCTTACTATGTAGACGTGCTGCCGGCGAATGGGAAGGCTATGCGCATCTCAGCTTAGCGCACGGCGTTCCTATTCGACGGCTTTACCACGCGAGCAATATTTCCGGCGGCCGGCTGGACTTCACCTATGTGATCACACCACCACACCACGCGCACCATACTACGTCGATTCCGTCTTTGCTCAATCACTCTGATCTGCCTGTGAAGAGGTTCAGCTACAGAATCGCTACACTGCTATTTCTCCAGGTTTGGAGTGCTCGACAGTGCAGATGGCGTCCTAATAGCCGCTGAGGCTGGACACCAACAGCACGTGTGACAGCGCATCACAATGACATCGAATGGGGATTGCGCATCTCGCCTCAAGCGCCCTTGGGAACAGAGCGGGCTCACATCTCGTCTTTGATGGGTGCTCTTCTCGCTCGTCCCTACCCTTTTCGTCTAATCGCTACTGCATTAGGACGCCTGCACGACGCCTCTAAATTGCATCTCTAGAGCACTTTCGACCCCATCGGCTTTCTTGGGACATGTTCAGCTACAGTGATGGACCGCTATGACATCTTCCGGAACGATTGCTGAGCTCTGAGCAAGTGCGATAGCTCGCACGCGCGCACCCTCGACTACGTTTGCTGTATTTCATCTTCTGGATCAAAGGTTCATGTGGTTTCTACCAAGTCACATTCGACGTCCACATGTGGGCTACGAAGGCTGTGATAATCCAAGATCAACTAGGAGGCGCTTAGTTGCATATGACAAGAACTTAGTGCTCAGCCTTCCCAATGGAGACGTAAGAGAACCATGACTGCTCGTTGTTTGCAAAGGCTGGGTGAGACTTTCTAGGTAATTCTTTCAATGACTCCATTCTGTGTACCTTTACTGCGACTGCCAGAATGAGTACAAACACCGCAGGCATCACTATCACAGCAATCATTACGAGCACAGCCGTCTACACACCTTCACCAAGCCTTGACAACGCTCAAGTATCGTCAACATCATCGGCAATGTACCGTTCGGAGAAGGACCGCTCGCTCTCTACACCGGCTGCCATCGGAATCGGTATCGCTATTGGCATCGTCTGCACCGTACTTGTTCTTATTACAGTACTGTTACTACACCGCGCATGGAGACTTCGCCGTTCACCACCAGTAAAGCAGTACAGGCAAGCCAAATTATGGAAGGGCTTCGAGCCGGTCACTCCGAGCACCGCGAGGACTACGTTCGTTGGAACCAAGATGACCAACATATACTTGACGGAGCTACCAACGCCGGTCACACCTGCCTTCCTTATGAGCCCGCCGTTGCGGGGAGAGGAAGTAGACGTGGAAGAGAGAATTCGACGCTATAGCGAACCTGCATAGTCATGCTATATACGACGGATGGCTTGTATGCGGTGTCCACTCAAGCTGGCGCAATATATGAGACAGGGCTATAGCCTTGTTGAGAGTCTACGCACGAACTCCATCACGTCTCTCAGTGATCGTGCCCAGCAGATCCCAACCCTGCTCACGACCACGAACAAGAACAACCTGCGCCTTCTACTCGTCGCTGCCTGTAAATGTACAGGATCTTGCAACTGGCTCGTTGAGATCCTGCGCAGTCTTCCCGGCTTCGGTGTCGTCAACTCCCGTCGCGTCTCTGAGATCGTTCCCACGCTCTTTCCCCTCAGCGCAAGCACTCTGGACTTCCTGCTCCAACGCCTCGCCGGCGGGGCGCGCAAGAAGATCATTGAAACGTTTACGCATATCAAAAAGCACAGCACCAGCAGCATCACTGCCTTGCTGCAGGCTCGCATGTGTAGGTTAGACATGGTGATCTCGCGGAACCTCCCCCGCCGCGACCGTCGCCAGCCACCTCAGAAGAAAGCACAGCCGGCTTCTCATGCAAGTCTGGCGGGAGTTCCAGTCGAGCTATTTAGCATGATTCTACGCCATCTTGCGTGCTGCGACATTCGCTCTCTCCGACAGACGTGCAACAAGGAGCTCGTGGGCAGATGCAAAGACAGCTTCTACAACATTGTCAATTCGACCGCCGCTTCCCTCCAGATGAGTCCCAGATGAGTCCCAGATGAGTCCCAGATGAGTCCCAGGTGAGTCTCAGATGAGGGAGACACAAGCACATGCTGACTCCGTTTCCGTAGCTTGACGCCGACTTTCCTGCGCGCGCAGTGTCACTTGCAAAGTTTGAGCGATGGAGCGATCACATCACCACACTACGCCTCTAGGTCCCGAGAATCACTTTCTTCTACCAGCTACATCAAGGCACCGCAGCCGCAGCCGCAGCCGATGGCGATACCTTCTCAGCAATGTCGGATACGAAAGAGTTCAAGTCTGCGCTCGCGCTATTGACGACCCTTCCTCCATGCAAAGCTGTTCAGATCCAGCACGACACCCCAAGCAGCGGCTGGCTCCTATGCGACTACCAATCCAGTCGACGGGAGGTCCGTGACAAGACCATGGCTGTCTTGGGCGACGTGTTGCGCGAGAACCTGGAGGTATATTGTATCCGCTGTCTGTACAAGACACACACTAACACTGAGTAGCATGGTCTTGTCGGCTTTATGCTTTCTTCGCACACGCAATGGTACGACGAGTACCGCCTATGCTGCTTCGAAGAACAAGAGAAGGAGACAGAGAAGGAGGAAGAAGAAGAAAGTCCACGTGCAGAGGGAGAGGAAGATGGCCGGCCAGCACATGTTGAGGAGGACGATCGACGCATGGCGATGGGGGAAGAATACCGACGCACAGAGAATGAGGAAGATGGCCGACGGACAGAGAATGAGGAAGAAGACCGACGCGCAGAGTTAGAGGAAGAAGATGCATACGCAGGCCAGTCCCGAGACATGGTTCGTGATGAGTATCGCTCACGTGGGCTTCCTCGGCCCATCCCCAAGAAGAAGGTGGACATTGTGGCGGCTCTGCAGAAGGACGATTTGAGGAGGTTGGAGTAGATGGCCATGCCCTACTAGGACACGCTGCTCATGGCGTTGACGACGTACAACCACTTCTATGCTACACTCGCTCTGATCCGGATACATGATCTGTTCCATGTGCATTTTACGGCCTTCTGGATACTGGTATGGTCTGACGCGCGGGGTGATGGTGGGCTGCTCCTTCCCCTTCCTCGAAGCGAGTAAACAACAACCCAAACGCGGTAAGCTTCGCGTCTCGCACACTGGGATTTCAGATATGACCTGGGTAGCTCCCTCAATCCCTTCAGTTTGCTCGCGACCAGTACTGCCGCCGTCGAAACGCCGCGGCCGCTCTCAGAACCCTGCCGCCATCAGCATCCCTCTCTCCGCCATCAGAACCTCCTCCCCCACCCCGCCATCACAATGGCATTCGCAGGGAAACGCAACACGCAAGAGCTCAGGAAGCTGGAAAAGACTGATGTCAAGATATCAGAGGCGAGACTCTTCAACGCATACAGTAAGTTCTGGCTGAGCGAAGTGCATGAGACATGTATACTAACTTCATACTACTGCAGCGACCACACAAAACGTGATTGAAGACATAGAGGAGTTGTTGCCTCGCCTCTCCCCTCACCATCCAGAGATCGACGAGTTGCTTCAGACGGCCAGGGCGGAGCCCGTGACACCCTTCACTATCCATGGGCATTGTGACGACAGCGAGACGAAGACTTGGCCGAAGACCGAACCTGCTATGGATCGCTGGTTTCCGGATGCTGTTGACCAAGCTCCGTACATAGAAGACCCGCCCTCTGGTTAGACCAGCGCGCAGCAAAGCATGTTAAGTCGTGTCAGGTCGCATAGCATAGTTAGCGAATAACCCAGACGCGAACTATGTCGCATCGCATTCTCGCTACCACGTCAATCAAGAAAAAACACTTATCAGCCTGGTGCCTACATCGACTTTGGGTCACACACTTTGCACATTCTCATCTTGATGTAGTCTCCAGACCTGTTCGAATTTTTTCTTGCATGAGATGCTATGCTCCCACATCCAGAGCTAATGGAGAGGTATCGCGCATATGTCACCACATAGGCCCACATCGTTGTCTACAGCGAGAGTTGTGCTTGTCGTTGGTCGCTATCCACAAGCGTTATACGACCAGTACCTCGAGCTCAGCCACATCAACGCGACCGAGGTCAAACTCGGACACGGCATAGGACGGATAGCGTGGCTGGAACGTGATGTTCACGGCAAGCTAAGCCGCATCGTCCTCTACATCAACCACCCGGAGTGCTTCAAGAGGTATCGAGCCCACGTTACCACGAAGGCCCAACATCGGCAAGCCCTCCGAGAGCGCCTTGTGGACCTGACAATGGTCTACTTCAGGCGGCCGGTCTCTCTCCCCGCCTTTCTATCTACCACGCAGACATGGCACCAGCACTCGACTGGACAGCTCGTTCCGCTGCGCGTGTTCGCCGACTTCCTTGACGGTGATGGCGATGAGATAGAGCTGAGGACAGCGCTGACGTGGCCACGAACTCCATCTGGCTTCGAGTACCTCAGCGACTGGCTTCAAGGTCGGTAATTTACCGTTGCACAGATCTAGAAGATCGCGCTCATCTACAAGGTGCACACCGTCGCCGGTGAGGACTGCCGGACATTCTTTCAGAGCTCCGAGATGATCGCGCGCTATGGGCCAAGGGCAGCCACGTTCGAGAAGGCGATGGAGCGTATGTGGGTCAACACCGCGCTGATCGAAGAAGACGACGACGACGAAGAAGAGGGACCTACAAGGAAGAGGACCAAAGTGACCGGACTGAAGGCTGGGCTGTCAAAGGAAGGGTACGATCGCCAGACCTACAAAATGAACCAAGCAAAGATCGCCGCTGGTGATAAAATCGCCGCGGAGAAGTTCGATAAGAAGCGCAAGAGCATCACGCAAACCCACAAAACCACACAGGCGAAGGTCGCTGCCATGGATGGGAAGATACCATTCAACGATGCGCTTGACAAGAGCAAGATGTCGACTACGAAGAAGGCACCGAGCAAGTCCCTAGAGTCAGGGCGCCGGTCGAGAGCCCTCCGCGATCTGAAGATCGCACAAGGGGACCCTAAGGCTATCGAGAGCAAGAGAAAGCAGAGGGAGAATCAGGCCAAGTGGAGGCAGTCCCAGAGAGAAAAGGTCAAGGCCTTTGACTTGAAGCATGCTGAGAATGAGAAGAAAGCGGAGGACGAGCAGAACTAGAAGAACACTTGATACTCATGTTTAGTAGCAGGATTTAGCAGGTGTATGTATGCGCTCCTCTGATAAGTATGACAGAAATGAAGTCACCCTGGAGGTCTTCACAGTGCTACACGCGTGTAGGCTCTCGGTATAGAAGTCAATGTATACCTCAATCTGGGCTATGTAGTGTGATCTGTCAAGGCATGCTTCTTTGTAGGCGTCTAAAATGACATGAATTCCTGTCTTGTTGTTGTCGCACTGCAAATAACTCTACTAAAGTAGACCCACACAAAGTGGTAGGCTTTCGCGCAACACAGTGAACAAAAAGGGCTGGCGATCCGAGAAGAGCTCATAGATGTCAACACCAACGTATCTCGTTACGAGTGCAGTTGGTACGCGCTGGATCCAACCTCACCCCAGTGCTAGGATGCCATCAATTCTACTTGTACTGAGCGTCAGAAGCACGTAGAATCCGTATTAGGGCGGAGGCTATGCTTCGCGCTTGGCAGCAAAGAAGAGCCAAACAAGAGAGCAGGTACCACACCAACGCATATAGAAGAGGAATAACAATAGTATACAGTATCAAGCCTAGTGCATGCACCTTTCTATGCAGCGCGAGTGGATGGCCCCAGAGACGGGCTCGACTGAAGTTTGCCAAGTTAAAAAAAAACCTAAAAAGCTTCAACACGGCTAAACATCCATTTCTTGCTGCCCATTACAGCAAATAGATGGCAAAAAGAAGGCTTTTACCAATTCCGGTACCGGGAATCTCGTCGATTGTTAGTATAAGAGGTCGAACTGAGGTGTAGTAGATTCAAGCTTACCGAACCCGGCTCTTCTCGGTGAAAGCGAGATATCCTAGCCGATGGACTATACCGGATGATGTGGTTGGTTGATGAAGAGTCAGGAAAAACCAAAAACCATAATTCCCCGGACAAGATTTACAAGAGCGCAACGAGGAGTAAAATGCTGCTACTAGGCGGGGTAACGCCGATGCGCATGTCAGATACACTAAGCCCCACTTGCTCGCCTACCATTAGCACATTTGTGATAAAATGCTCTTTCGCTGTCACTGCAGTCAATTTGGCATCGAAAACAGCTTGTCAGCTAACAACAAAAGCAGGTATGAGGTCGTCGGTCTCCATCAGCGCACTTAAATCACAGGCACCTGAAATAATTTGCACGCGAAAAGAATAGTAGTAAAGTGTGCAACACATATCATTCAGTCAAAGAAGCAATGAACCAAAGCGATTCAGAGCAAGTAGGTACAAGAAATGAAGAACACCAAAGCGTTACTTTCCATCATCCATCCTCCAGGATTCTACCATTCCATAGCCTCCTATCATCATCACACCACGAACTTAGACGCGGAAAGCGCGGGGGTGGCGGCGGACCTTCTGGCTGGAAGAGCCAGCCTTCTCCTCGAGCCAGGAGATGAAGGTGTCGAGGGTGAACTCCTTGTCGAGGCTGGCGCTGCCGGTCTGGGCGGGGGCGGGGGCAGAGGCAGCGGGAGTAGAGACAGCGGCGACAGCGGCGGAGCTGGTGGCAGCAGGGGCGGAAGAAGCAGAAGAGGCAGGGGCAGAGGCGGCAGGAGCAGAGGCAGAAGGCTTGGGCGCGGAAGCGTTGCCAGAGCCGGAGCTGGCACCGTCGAACAGAGCGGGACCGGGCATCTCGTAGCTGGACATGTCACCGCCGTAGACGCTGACCTTGATACCGGGGTCGGTGGCAGTGTAGAGCTTGTTAGCCGGAGTACCCTTGGGGGTAGCGGTACCGGAACCGGTGACCTCGATGTTGATGCACTTGGGGTAGTTCTGAGCACCGTTCTCCTGGGCAGCGGAGTGGAGAGCGATGATCTCGTGGCGAAGGACGTATTGACCAGGGGCAATGCTGTCAGGGACAGTCACGGTCCAGGTGTTGTTGTTGGCGATGAGCTTGTCAGAAGCCCACTTGCCGTCCTCGAAGCCAGCGGCGTCGATCTTGAAGAACTCAAGGTCGGTAGACTTGGCCTTGGTGGCATCGTCGACCTTGGCGAGGTAGTCGATGACGGGGCCAACGTGGGACTCGGGCCAGGTGGTCCACGAGATGTCGAGCTTGCCACCAGCGGCGACAGTAGCAACCTTTGCGCCAGCAGTGGCGTCCTTGTGGCAGGCAATCTTGGTGGCATCGTCGTACATGGAGGGGTCGACGAAACCGTTGTCAAGGCACTCCGGGCAGGACCACTCAATGACCTCGGGGGAGGGGGTCTGGTACTGGAAAGACGGGTCGTAGGCAGTGAAGTCCTTGCCGTCAACCTTGATGGCAGAAAGGTGACCGTGGGCGCTGACGGAGGCAGCAAAGGCGCCAAGGATGGCAGCGGCTTGAATCTTGGAAGGCATTGTAGTGTTGGGTGTTGGAAAGTCTGGTTTGGACGAAAGGGTTGGTGTTCAAAAAGATACTTCGAGATCAACGAAGATAGTAAAGAATGTGAGGCGCTTCAAGCGTGAAAAAGTGAACGAAGGTGAAGTGAGCGAATGTCGACTGACTGAATGACTGTGGTGGTGAGGAATCTCTACATGCTGGGCGAGAGGTACTCTTATACTCAGATACTGCCATGTCGGAAATGGCGCATCGCTGTGCATGTGTCAAATGAAAGGAGTGGAGCTGACAGAAAGGGAACCGTTTCCGCGTACAATGCTTCAGGGCTGTGGAGCTGGGGTGCTCGATGTTCGCAAGGTGGGCTTGTCACTTGTCATGGCGGTGCTTGTTTCATGGTGTGGCTTCTGATCCTGGCGGTAAACAGAGTATACTGAGCAGCCCTCGGCCAGGTGTTCCTGATCGACGCAAGGAACATGTCAAAGCGAAACGCAAGAGGGGTTGAACATTGAATAGACGCCAGATACAGCTAGCACACCATTGCACCGGTGTTTGGATGCAGTGGCTGTACATTCTCTGCGGCCGAATACCCGTACGCACATTATGCTCTCACAATAACTCCTCGTTCTTTGGTTATGATACCATGTTGTGTTCTTGGTGATGGTGCAAAGAAGCTTGGGCGCAATGAATCAACGACTCTTTCCGCCCGCTGCACACTAGAACCATCTCGACTCGCTTAGACTCAGCGCCTCAGAAACGACATCTACGCGTCACCAAATCTCCCACCACCCAGCGGCATAAACGCAACGACGGCAAACCGGCAGACCGGGCTCTACTCCTCACATTCATTAATCTGCAGCAAACCTAGGTATACACCCGTAGGTCCGATCGTAGCCTCAGCGCCTTTATCTCCGTATGGTCGCTTCCGACTTTCATCGTTTCATACCATGCCCCCCTGAAAGTGGGTCAACGACAGCGCGCGCCTCCACTACTGTACGCATGACAGTTCCAGGCGCTTGGTACCAACGTCTTGATTCATACGAACTACGGTGTGCACTCTGTATTTGCTCTTTCGATCGAGACCAGGTACTGAGACTGGAACACTCACCGAACCGTCCCACACACACACCCTCGGCAAATTACACTGCATCGTAACAGACTTCACGACATGTTCCTGCCTCCACTGGTGCCTGAACGTCAGTACCTGTTTCTGCGCCTCAATCAATGCCGCCCGGAGAAACTCCACTGGTGTTTTATGTTGTCCGGGTGGGTCTCTGCTCTCTATGCGTTTCAATGTCGCTTCCATGCCACACGGGCCTTCATTTCGGGCCAAGAAACTTTAGCAGCCGGCAACCGAAAACAAGCAACGGCTAAAGCGACGGTACAGCTGGCCAAGGCTCGCTTCCTACCGGAGACCCGGTGTTCATCTGTCAAGGTGTGAAGGGTGTAACACGCCTATGCACAGCGTTTACTAAACATCATTTTTGCACACATCGAGATCCAAGAATCATACCGCTGAACAGATGAAAGTTATCATTGTACTACCGCCGCACGACAATGCTGCATTGAAAAGGAAACTGGCAGCCCATGCCATGGCCCTATTAAAAACGCCGAAAGTCACCCTCTAGTCATACATGTCGTTACAATACACTAGTTCCACCGAACGCCCCATAAACCGTTCACATGCCGTTAAGACGAGTAGCGCCATGTCTCAGCTCCATGGACATTCGTCGTAGCCTGCAGCGGCGGCAGCACTGGCTTCTGATCCCTTGGTACAGCTACAAGACCGCCTTTGCCGTCATCACTAATGGGGCTAGGTGTTGGTCGTTGTGGCTCGCGTGGTGGCGGTCCTGGTGGGGTTTGAATTTGCGAAGCTTGCATGCTCCTAGGTAGGTCGTACGATAGACTGGAGCGGGGCCCTGAGGGAGGGTAGCGAGGCTGAGGCGCCTGTGGCGAGTGCGCAGTCATAGATGGCGTCCCTGTGGGGCCTGTCGATGTAGCGAGCTGCTTAAGCATCTGTTCCCACTTTGGCGCCTCGGGAGTCTGCGTCGTCCTTGCCATTTCCCGTTGGAAAGCATCCGAAGACTGGAACTGTGCGGATGGCCTTGGTGCAGGTAGGCCCGTTGGTGGCGGTGGTCCGTAGTATCCGGGAGAATGCGCGGCTCCGTGTGACGCGATAGGCCTTGGTGCGATGGAAGTAGGTGTACCACTGGTTCTCGACGTAGCCTGCTTTGGCATCCATTCGGGTGCAATTCCACCATCCAGACTATAGGGTGATATGTAAGTTTTTGTCCTCCGCAAATAACAATTTCTGAGGTAGGGATAATTCATGACGTAGGATAAATACTCAGTGGGGGATTGTGCAGCATAGATGATTTCAGAGGAGGGTGTGACGGCGTACATTGGAGGTTTGGGAGTCCCAGTAGGGTTGCTCAGCATGTTTGAGATCGACGCGCGACCGTGTGGTGATGCCTGGCTTTGATGGCTTGGTGGGCCATAAGGTGAAGTAGCAATCTGTCCCGCGCCTGGTGAGTATGGTGAGGGTGGCAACTGACGAGGACTCTGAGAGTATGGGTATGGCGGTAGAGCACTATGCTGTGCCGGTTGCGCATACTTGTCAATTCCGTTGAGCAGTGCCGACTGTGTTTTCCAGGACGCATTAGAGTAGC